GATTTATCGGAGATTTTGTATTTCTCTAAATTACCGTTATATGGGATGTAAGTATAAGGCCGAACCCGGCTCTCCCTTTTCCATTTAATGAAATTTATTCTGTCAGTACGCACTTATAAAATAAATCTCCATAACAAATTTAAAATACTTCGACAGTTTTCTAACCTTCCAGAGATATGTATTAAGAAGTGTTTAGTATGTATGGGAGGCGACATGCCTCCTTTTATAATAACTCACATTTTTTCCATGAGCAATTGATACATTTTGCATACACAACTCCATACCAAGTTCCAGTATTCTCCACAAACACTTCCAGGGATATGTGGCAAGAAAAAGTAAATTTGTACTAAGGATGGGTAAATTCGATATTCGAAGCTTCGATATTCAAATTTCAATCGAATTTTAGCTCCAAAATGGCGAATTTTTGAAATCGAACTTTGTGTTGCTAAAATTCGGATAAAATCGAATTTTTCTAGAAAAAATCGATTTCATCTTTATTTCCAAAACATCAACTCTTCAAATTTCTTCTTTCTGACTAAATTTGCCATCACTGTGTGTGTTTTTCGATCTGATGCATCGAAGCAAAAAATCTGTGCCAAGAAGCAACTGTTATTCCAAACTCAATATAAAAAAAAAAATTTTGTAAAAAAACTATTTTTTGTTGATTTTTTATTTTAAATTTTTGGAGGCTTTTATGTTAGTAGCATGAAGCTTTTGCCTGAGAAGACCCCTAGTAAAATTTTCCGGAGAATAATTTTCTAGAATAAATCAATCCTCCAACGACCTTCCGAATTTGCTTTTTGGGGATTTCTTGAAGTAAGGGTCAAAATTACCCTTTTAGGCGGGAGCTAATGGTTAAAAATGTTCTACGAAAATATTTACCATGAAATTTTATATATATGTCTTAACCTTTAATTTCGCTCACGATTTATTTTGACAATTTTTCGACTTTTTTAAAAACTACTTAGGCCGAGACATGAAAACTTTAGAGTGTTTTACTACTGGATGGGTATACTTTCAGAAAATGTTAACAAAGTCGGGGCTGGTTTCTGCTGTCGCACAATGTAATTTAGTTTAACTTTTTAAACAGGTGGCCACTCCCTTCAAGCACCTCAAAATTATTTTAGTTGTTGCATAGTATTTTAAGCACAACACTTCTTTAAATAAATTCTACTTCTCAAACAGGTGGCAACCCTCCTAAACCATTTCGATTGATACCCATATTGAGTAATTTATTTAACTTACTAAATAATTTGATTTTGATTTTCCTACATATGGCTCAAAACTAGACCATATTACACATCTCAGGGCAAGCACTTTCATTTGACACCTAATTTCTTTTTGAAAATCGAACAAACAATACAGATTCTATGACTTAGTGTTAAATATTTAACGTAAACATCTGCGGAAGCGATTATTTGATTTAGATTTTCTAACCTGTGGCAACTCTTTTCATAAAACTAAAACTATGTTGCAGACCCAAAGGACAAGCCTTTAATTTGACACTTCATTTTTTGAAATTGAGCGAACGATACAGATTTTATGACTTGGTGTTAAATATTTAACGCAAACGGCTCCGAACTCGATTTCACTTCAAAGATA